AATACATTCACCAACTTTTATTAAAATAAAACCATTTAAACTGGGTGTTCGGATTTATATGTCACTTAGTATATTTAGAAAAATTGTTTTTATTTTTAAACTTCAATCTTTTCAATGAAGCCCTTGAGGAAAAATGTTACATAGAAGACCTCACAGCCCTGGAAACGCGGTTCTGTGTATGATGCTTCATTTTTGGTCACGACTTGTGGATCACCCTGTATATCACAGGTATTAGAAGAAGCATTAAAAATTTTTGATATATACATTCAATGGCTACTTTATCTCATTAATCTGAAGTAAAAACAGATGACCGTAACGGTAACTGAAGGTACAATAAAATGAACTCAACAGCAAGGAGCAAACCAAGGTGACAACAATGAAACCACATATAAACACATGGCATTGAATTCTTGATCTTTCTCAAATCCAAGCAGTCAATGTTGAATCTACCCACACAGAAATTTTCCGCAGATAGCTAGATAAATAATATGAAAAAGCTGCATTTCGCCAAACAACTGAATAATATTCTAGCCTAGACCTAACAGATGCAAAATGCAGTATTTTTGAAGCTTCGCTGGTGAACAATTTAAAATTTCTAAACATAGATCCGTATATTCCAACATTTTGCTGTATTTGCTCTTTGAAGCTGAAACTTGTTCAAACTATAGGACTGAGGCAGTGAGGTCATCGTTAAGTATCTTCTCTCGAGAATGACTTCACCAATCTTGTATTCAAAGCATTTTGGCATTTCATTTCTTGTGAATGAAAAACGTGAAATTTAAAAATATTCTATAGGAAGCATGGCATTAATGGGTAACAGAGGCAACATTTTACAACAATCCATGAGGCATCGCGTTTGCATTGTCGATCAAAGGATGAAAAGGTAAATCTCGGGACTGCTGTAGATGTGACACAAATTAAGCAAATACGAAACAGCATGGCGATACATATGGATGTGGCCTCGCAGTTATGTTAGCTCCTAGCGCATAAGACTTTTCTCGACACTGGGATAATTTGCAGCGCGAATAGAGCCTGCTAATGTTATAGTACGTGCAAGTTTAATATCGCCTACAAATGGAGAACCGTGGATTATGTCAACGAGAGTATGTACGTACTTGTGTACATAATACGATAACTGAGTTATTTCTATTGAGCGGCATTGCTGTTGCTAGCAGCTAGCAGTGTACCGGTGGCATGCTTATATTTAACGATATATTGCAAGAAGCAAAGCAAACATATCGTTAGCGAAGCTGAAGCTAGTATGCACTGGTGAGGGCGGCATTAATTAAGGACCGGCCTACAATCGGAAACGTTTGTGAAACGTACGGCGGCGTTACCGTTGCCGGAACAACGATGCCCCAAGAAAACATCCATGGTTGTGTTACGATCTAATTTACGGTGGACGTCATCGTTACTTCGGTAGTTAATATTCAGACATCCGTGGATTGTATAAGTCAGGTCGGGGTTCATGCCCGGTAGCTGCAAGTCGTTTTTTTTTGGACAGGCGAAAGCAATTCTCAGGCAGATAAGATCGACAGAATCTCAGCCTTTCCAGTCAAAATGGTGAGATTCTCCAAACACGGCATACTCACTCGAGCTGCTCAATCGTACTCCATAGCTGCTTCCCAGTGCTTTTGAATTGAGTGTTGCGTGCACCGGGAGTGTGACGCTCCCGAACTGCTCTAGCAAATGTGCATGGGAACGCGACGATAAAAAAATAACCTGTTTGTTGATGTTTTGCTTTGACGTTGACAATTTGTATCACACTGCCAAACAATGAAAATGTAAACACATTTTGTCTTTATTTTCAGAAACATTGTCAGACTATCCAATTGATGCCTGATAATGCTATTAGAATGATGGCGCAACACGTCAGGGTTCTGTATTTTTAATGTAAAGCTTCTGGATAAATGTCTAGAATTCATATTTTAGTGAAGACATTCAAAATTATTTGCAGTGTCTAGTTAGCCAACTACAAGCCGCTCTGAACTTGCCTTTTTGTGATTTTTATTATTAATCTCAAATATACGCTGTGACTCTGGGTCATAGTATTATCAGTTTTTTACCATCCTACATTGTCTGGGATCGGTTTAATGCGAGTCTAATGAAAAAAAAAACATAACCTAGCAATCTTGACACATTGTCATTTTTGTTATCCCTACTATTTCGGAGCGTATATCACCGAATAAAAATCTGGTGCATGAGGGGGCAGGGGTTTTCAAAATTGAGCAGATCAACCAACCAACCTTTTTCTTTTGTTGAGGCTCCCCGGACTATAAATTATATTTCCATGCCCACCTTTACTTTTTCAATAAATACAAGAAACGCACGCTATATAGGTACAAAGACTTTTATTTTAATTCTAATAAAGAACTTTAAAAGTTTAAATAAAATAATAAATGTTTTTTGCATGTTCAGTACCAGTTGGTTGATTCTAGGTTCTGTTTTTGCCAGCGCTATCATCAGGTCGCTATCGACATCAAGACGATTTCGCTGTCTAGTTTTAATTAAAACGGTCTCACATAAGTAAGTTGAAGAAAAAGGAACTAGTATTCGTAAAGCAAAAGAGGCAAGTGTCGAATTAGCAGGCAATCTTTTGATCCAAAATTTCTCCAATGTTAAAAGGTGGAAGTCATCTTTCATGGACGAATCAGCCTTCATTACTAGAAATTCTTCCTGAACTTCTTCTGGTAATTGTGACACATCGACAACAAATGGATTTCTTGTTATGTGCCATATTGGTGACTCTGAATTGATGTCTCGATAGTATCGGCGAAATTCGTCTTCCAGGACGTGCAAATGAGTTTTTATGAGCTTTTAAATTAGCGTCCAGTATGTTATTTTTAATTGCTTTGAACAGTCGAGAAAAGGATATAACATTTTCAGAAGATACGTTTTGATGCCAAAGTTGAAGCTTTGATATAAACCCCTGAATATAATCATAATTGCTTATTATAGTGTTGTTTCTGCCCTGAAATTTCAAATTTAGCTCATTCAAGGAGTCAAATATACTAAGTGACATATAAATCCAAACACCCAGTTTAAATGGTTTTATTTTAATAAAAGTTGGTGAATGTATTTATCTTACTGTAAATAACAAGTGAAAAAATGTTCAGCCTTATCAGTTGGACATTCCGGTTTTTATACTGCTTTTTTTTTAATTCACTAACGCTCTAAAAATGAATATTTCAGCCGCAGTAAAGAATCAACGTTGGCGGATTTTGGTTCTTGACATCCTTTACGATCGGTTACGATGCCTAGAGTACGGAGACCTGTACGATTTCGTCAACTTAGTGAGTTTGATAGGGACCGTATAGTGGGACTTCGGGGAGCTGGACTTTCTTTTCGGGCAATTACAGTTAGAGTGCAAAGAAGTGTAGACACTGTGGTTAGGTGTTGTCAGGCATGGCTTCGAGAAGGCCGTACGCAAAGAGCAAGGGGCACTGGACGCCGCCGTAGAACAACAGACCGGGAAGATCGTCGCCTAAAATTATTGGCCTTAAGGGACCGTTTCTCCACTACCAGGTCCATTGCAAATGAATGGTTTGCAGAACACGGAAGACCTATTGGCATGCGAAGTGTTTACCGACGAATGAGAAGTTTTGGCTTGTTTTCATACCGGCCACACTGGGTCCTCCCTTAAACTCGAGAACACCGACGTAATCGCCTTGAGTGGTGCAGACAACGGTCACTCTGGGATCAGGAATGGAACAGTATTGTCTTTAGTGACGAGTCTCGATTTTTTTTAGGCCTGCACGATGGTCGTGCAGGGTTAGAAGGTGACGTGGTGAAAGGAGGAATCCACAGTTTATGTTGAAAGACATGTTCATCACACTGTTGGAGTTATAGTTTGGGGTGCTATAGCTTATGGTTCCAGGTCACCTTTAATCTTCATCAGAGGTAACATGAACGCGCAGCGTTATATCCGCGAAGTTCTAGAACCCCATCTTTTACCCTATCTTGACACCCTGGCAGATCCAACTTTCCAACAAGATAATGCCCGACCACATGTTGCAAGAGTCACAATAGACTTTTTTCAACATAATGATGTCACATTGTTACCATGGCCACCAAGATCTCCCGACTTATCCCCAATTGAGCACATGTAGGATATGATGGGTAGGAGATTGCTCAATTTGCAACGTCCTCCTCAGACTCTAGAAGCACTTCGAGAGGAGTTGGTGGTTGCCTGGAATGATATACCACAGGAGCACATTGACCACCTGATCAGAAGCATGCCTAGGCGCTTTGGAGAATGCGTAGCACATCAGGGTGCAGCACACATTATTAAAGGGCTTTAAATCAGTGCAATCATTTTGAAATTTTTATCATTTACTTATTATACTTCATTAAGTACTTATACAAAATTTTATTAAAATAAAACCATTTAAACTGGTTGTTCGGATTTATATGTCATTTAGTATATATCAATTAAATAAGCCTACCTCCATTGAAATGTCTCATCTTTGAACATTGTCAAGAAATCGTGTTTTCTCTGAACTCAAGGAAAAGAACTACCTCTTCGTTCAATTCAAAAAGGCGAACCAACATGTTGCCTTTGGACAGCCAGCGTACGTCTGGAACAGAAGAACTTTGTGATCAGAATCGAGATCCTAGCAAAGTGAAGTGAATAACCGGCTGTTCAAAGCGCTGCTCTTGATGTAGTTTACAATGCTTATAGCCGACTCCAAAGTCTGGCGTAATTTCTGTGGCAATGTTTTGGAAGCCCAAGCTTGCCGATGAATAACACAATTTGTACTAACCATTGCGGGATTTTTTCCTTGAGCTTTTTAGCTAAGCCCCATCGTACACCTATCCTTGCAGGTGCGCCATCTGTGCAAAGTCCAATGAATTCCTTCCAATCCAAATAATTTTGACAACAGAGTTTGAGATTGAATTGAATATATCTTCAGATGTAGTACCTGCTGTCAAACATTGGGAGTAGAAAATCTCTTCTTGAATGATACCTCCACCGATGTAACGAGCATAAACTATTAACTGTGCATAATTAGCGATGTCGGTGGATTCATCGCAACTAATGGCAAAAAATGGCGATAATTTTATTTTGTTAATTATTTGTGACTTTATGTCTGCTGCAATGTCATCGATTCTATGCTTGACTGTGGTGTTCGAAAGAGAAATAGACTTCATTTTTTGCTCTGCATCTTCTCCTAAAATCTGCGTGGCTCCTAGGACACATGGTGTTATTAATTCTTCACCGATATTATTAGGAATCTTTTGCTTTGCTATCATAAAAGCTATTTCAAATGAAACTTTGAGATGCTGCGATACACCTGTGTGATAACTTCCCGATTTATCCAGTCTCATCCGCTTTAGAAGAAAAAAACCCTTTCGTCTTCAAAACCGGAGTAGGATGTTGTTACTTCAAATGCCTTTCAATTCGATTGGGCCTCATCCTATCATTACTTAAAACTTTCATACATATCACACACTGAGGCAATTGTAACTCGTCCTTTTCTATGAAGGTAAATCCAATCTTAACGTAATCTTCGGAAAACTTTCTTTTTTTTCGCTGACATTTTGCACCTATAACAATAAAACAAACAAGTAATAAATAAACAAGCCAAATAGCTACATGTAGTTACTAATTATGTGCCAATTATTTTATCTTAATAACGGAATGTATTCAACAGTGTATTGGCCACAGGGAGATTTATATTTTTGTAGGCAGGTTGACGTTATGATAGTAATTTTGAATACATTTGGAATCAATATTAGGTACTTAAAGTTGGTCGTTTCAAAATTATTTCGCCACGTTGGTTTGATTGTGACGTGGTAAAAAAGTCCCAATGGCCGATCTATGAACGCGTCTTCACTCAATCAACAATTCAGTAATTTAAATGAAAATGGTAACGTAAATCCACAAACTTACCTTTTAACAGTGAGACACAAAAATTTGTCACACTCAAACAGATTTCTCAACAAAACATGTACATCGAAACGTCAAATTTTTCGTAAATAATAAAAATAATAACGCTGTCCTTATGCTTAGCTGATCCTGAAATGAACTTTGGTTTAGATAATGCAATGGTCGAGTACCCAAGATTACTGTTTGCAAAGTTTGAATGTTTGAAATATGGGCATAGATATGACAAGCATTGATGCAGGTGACGAAACAAATTACTGAATATTGTAATAATATTGCAACAATTTCATTTAACTTTTTTTAGATCTGTATGATAGCTGTGTAGTTCCCAATGTGAAAATTGCGACAAAGTGTAATAGGGAGACTGTATTTCCGTTCGCATTTGACATCTGGATCACTGCTGTGGCTGCTAGATGCCATCGATCTATGGTCGGCCGAGACGAAGCTATATTAGTAGTTTGTTCATTGGCGAGTAGCTCGTATCTACTATACCATCAGAGTCGACGGTATTTGGCGGCCGCAGTGGTGGCCCAGCTTTCAACTGGAATACAGTTCCAACAGACGTCTTGCTGTTTTCACTTTCGCAGTGATCGATTCTGGTTACAAATGGCTCTGTGTGCTGCCTGACTTCAATAAACCTTATAATATATTTCATTCGTTGTCCTGCTTTAGACCATAACGATTAGTTGCCAAATATCACTGAAGAGATGTCCATGGTTGGCCATCAGTAGTCGGACTAACGAAAGCTATATTGCTAAAATGCGATAGGTTTTCAAAAACTGCAAATGAAATCAAGCAACACATTTGTAGCTGAAGACGTAATTCTGTTAAAAAGTTACTCAAGATACACTATTGCCAGATGTAAGTTTGTCTTAGCTAAGCTTAGCTAAACTGCAGTAGTGCAATATAACCCCAATTTGAGGTTGACCTTGACCCATCTTTGCTAATCGGTAGATCTGAGAGATTTGGTGCAACTGGGCATTAAAGCTTCAGTTGCCTTGCATCTTTACAGCCTCACCAGTATTACGAGGGTCGTCCCAGAAGTACCCAGCCTGACCTAGATATGGCGATAGTTGTTTGAAAAATATCATTGTATTAGAAAGTATGCAACCAATAAAGCATATGTGTCAAGTTTGAAGACGCCACGTTGTTTAGTATTTGTTTGGCAGCCATCAATACTGAACGTTTTCAGTGAATTTGTGAAAATGGAGAAAATTGGTCATCGCTTTGTGGTACAATACTTTTATTTCAAATGCCTCAGCCCAACCAATATAAAAGCTTAACTGGATTCTACTCTAGGTGATTCTGCTCCTTCGTTTACAACAGTAAAATATTGGGCAGCAGAGTTTAAACGAGGCCGTATGAGCTGCCAAGACGAGCATCGCAGTGGTCGACCAAAGGAGGTGACGACTCTAGAAGAAAATTCACAAAGCGGTACTGAATGATCGTCGACTGAAGGTGCGCGAGTTAGCAGACATAGTAGGGCATTTCAAAGAGAGCGGTTCGTCGCATATTATCTGAAAATTTGGACATGAGAAAGCTGTGCACAAGATGGGTGCCGCGATTGCTCACAATCGAGCAAAAACAGTGTCGTATAGATGTTTCAATTGAGTATTTAGCGAAGTTTCACAGCAATAAAGCAGAATTTTTGCGTCGTTTCATAACCATGGATGAAACATGGGTCCATCACTTCACACGCGAGACAAAAGAACAATCAAAACAATGGACTCAAAAGGGACAACCTGCTCCAAAGAAGGCGAATACCGTTTCATCTGCAGGCAAGGTTATGGCGTTGGTTTTTTGGGATGCGCGTGGGATAATTTTCATTGACTATATTGAAAAAGGTAAAACTATCAACGGCGAGTATTATGCGATCTTAGTGCATCGTTTGAGCCATGAAACCAAGCAAAAACGGCCGCATTTGGTTAAGAAGAAAGTTGTTTCATCAAGACAATGCACCAGCTCACGAATCCGTTATTGCAATGGCCAAAATTAACGAATTAAAGTTTGAGTTGCTATCTCATGCACCCTGTTCACCAGATTTAGCTCCCTCGGATTATTTTCTGTTTCCAAACATGAAAAAATGTCTCAGTGGTCAAAGATTTTCCAACGATGAAGAAGTGATGTCGGCAGTTAATGGCTATTTTGAGGAGCAAGACAGTTCTTATTATAAAAAGGGTATCGAACTTATTGAACATCGCTGGGAAAAGTGTATAGAGCTCAAAGGAGATTATGTTGAAAAATAAATAGCTTTTTTACACAATTTTTGTGTTTTCTTCGTTGTGTCGGGTACTTCTGGGACCACCCTCGTATCTTGGTTTTCCACTTCTCGGTCAACTTCTTTTGACGCTTATTTGATACCCATCGGAAGGCAGTGATCCGAAAAACAGGCCATATGAAATACCGCACTATGGTTGCCTTCATTAAAAGGGAGAGATCAGCTCTTTTCCTGGCATACTCATCAGCTCCCTGATTACTAACTATTTACTACAAACAGGATGAGTTTTGGCTTACCTCACAATTTGCTTCCATCTCTTGTGGTCTTCCATTACTGCTGGGTCAAGGTTCAAATCCATTTTGACTAGTCTGACTTGATGTTATCCACCCATCTCATACAGGGGCGACCTAGAGGTCTTTTACCAGCTGGTGCTTTCTACCAGATCCACTTTACATTTCCACCAGATAATTCGTTTGCCAGTATATTTAGTGTATTAAAGTAGTCAAACACTGTCTTCGAGTTACAGTTACGACGCCACTGACTGAGGAAGTATGTTCACTTATAAGGTGTTACTTTCTGCAGATCGTTGATAGGACATTACATTTGTTATGTATTTGGTGATGATCAAAAATATCACAAAAATGTTAGTTGTTTGATTACTTCTTTTAGTTTTGATCAATAAAAATAGTACATAAGTACATATTAGTGACTTTTTTAGAATCTCAAAACGACACGAAACTAGGTTGAAGTGGAGTTGCCGAGAGAACAGTGCCTTACCGTGTCATCAATTCATTGATACATTTTCTTTTATTTGTTCCATATCCGCGCAATTAGACACGAGGTAGATGCTATATACGTTCGTTATCGGAGATCTACAGTGTGTCCCATATTCGCTTCTCTATACAGGGACCTCGGCTCCTGTTATACCTACAGCAAAGGTTCAACCGGAAAGGTTTTAGAGGAAACTTAGTGCATTCGATGACCGAAACTGTCGAATTTTGTTTTTTTGCCAGTAAATCTGAAACGGTTAATTTGACAGCTGTCAAAATGTGACATTGCTCGGATATTTTCTTAAGGCAAATAAGATAGCGTGTATGGCATGTTTCAATAGTCTTTTGTTTTTCCGCAACGTGCCTCAACTTTCATTTTTCTTATGACCGCCATATTGGATTTTTCGATTTTTGAAAATAGCGTAAGATTTCAACCGCAGTGATGTCTCACAAGTGCATAAAAGCTGGAGTATTATCGAAATATCTTCACACGTAATGTTAGGTATTAATTTTTTATAAGGAGGCCATGCTTTATTTGTCAGAAAAAAAATTATAAGTAACGCAGTTTTTTCATGTAAGGAGTCTCTGACTTTGACGTTAACTAATTCGAAGTATTAAAATTGTGTTTTAATAAGTAGTAGGAACGTTTTCTCTCATCAAGATCATAAATCTGACAAAAAATCTTATTTTTATTAAAAAAATGTCCGAATAATGTCACATTTTGACTGCTGTCAAATTAACCGTTTTCGATTTACTGGAAAAAAACGGATTCCGCCATTTTCGGTTTTTTGCTGATATTTTTAAAACCAAATGACCGATCGTAAATCTGAAGCCTACTATTGGAAGCACTAAGTTTCCTCTAGAACATTCCACTTTAACCTTTGCTGTAGGTATAACAGGAGCCGAGATCGCAGTATAGAGAAGCGAATCTGGGACACACTGTATAGACGTGACCACCAAATACCTGTATATTAGCGTGCTGCCTTCGTTAAGATAATAAATCATTAAAAATTCTCTTAGTGAAAGTATTCATTCATACATACGAGTTTCGCAATAGCCTTTGTTATTTACAAGACATTTGTAGAATCCTAAAAAGCGATGTTTCCGAAATTCCTCATATCGCCGTTAATTGTCGTTTATTCATGCATATGTTACGCAATACCAATCGCTTGCTCTTTATGACATCGAAAATAGAAAGTGACCTCGACAGATGGACCTCAGTTACTATCACATCAACATGCCAAGTTGCATGATAGGATAGCCAACAACTGGTCATTAACGTAAAAAGCTAGAGGCTTCCAACCAAGATGCAATGTGTACATCTTTGCAGGACAGAATCGTCATAACCAAAAGTTACACTTCCACGAATAAATGGATATATTTTTCAGAGACAAGGAGCCTAATGGATAAAAACTAAGCAATTACTTTAAGCAATTACTTTTTGGCAAAAGCAATTGCTTAACTAGCAATTGCTGTAAAGAAAAGCTATTGCTAAATTTTGCGATGA